TGCTGATTTCGGCCTTAGTTTTGCTAAATCAGCCTAAATCTTGCTGATTTCAGCAGGTTTTTGTTGATCTTCTGGCCAGGGTTTGTGATTTAGACGAACCCATGGCAGTGTAAGGGTTCGTAAGAGGGGAGGTTTTATAGACCCACTTCGTGATCCCAGAGATGAAAAAAATGAGGAACTTAAAAAGCAAGTTTAGCAACTGGCGCAACAATTTGCGAGCATCATTCATGGGCAAGACATTGATCTTTCCGCCCAAGAAGATACCAAGTGCCACCTTTCTCATCTCTGTGCTCCGTGTGAAGAGTGGAGTGAAAAGAAAAGTGATAGAAGCCCTAGACATGGGGAACATCATTCTAGGCTTTTTGATTTGAAGGAGATTCTTGATTTTGACTTAGTCTGTATTGAAAATCAGCAGGTTGTATATTGGGATCTGCCACCAATCTTCGATACATATGTAGATGAAGAACAAGATCTTGTAGGAGATCCAATATATGATGATGATCAAGATTTTGTGGTTAAACCAATCTTTGACGAAAGATGAAGATCTCAAGGATATTGAAGAGGTGGAGCATTCAAGAGATTTAAGGCATTGGAAACATAATAGTGCAGTAGAAGTGTGGTCGACTCATACACAACTAATTGTAGCTCTAGTTTTAGAGTGTAATGAAATGAAGGTCGAGAAAGCTTCCAAAGGCCAGAAAATTGAGTTTGAAGTTCTGCACGCAATTTCTAATGCAAGTTCAGGGACAGCCAAATTTGATAAGTTTCTATCAATTACTTACTATACATACCAGGATCCATTTCTAGGGAATTTCTTCTTACGACAAATAATATTAGAGCCATCAACAAAGAATAAGGTTGAAGAAGGTGGTTTTGATGCTAAATTCATCTTTAGCACACTTCAAAACTCAAGGACGAGTTTTCTCCAATCAGGGGAGAATGATGCAGGATAAAATTATTTCTATTTTTATTTCTATTTTTTATTTTTATTTCAAAAGATCTGCCCAATGAAGCTGAAGGGCAAGTTCTATAGGACAGCTGTGAGACCAACTTTGCTCTATAAGGCGGAATGTTGGGCGGACAAAAAACAATATACCCATAGAATGAGTGTGTAGCGAAGATAAGGATGTTGAGATGGATGAGTGACAAGACAATAAGGGATAAAATTTGAAATGAATCCATTAGGGAGAATTTAGGTATGGCACCAATAGGCGATAAAATGAGAGAGGTAGATTTAGGTGGGCTGGCCATATGTGGCACCAACCAAGTACAACACTTTTTGGAGGTATGAGTTAGTTTAAGTGAAAGGACTGAAAAAGGCCAGGGGTAGGCCCAAAAGGACATGGTTGGAAGTAGTCCAAAAAGATATGGGGACTTATGGCCTCACTGAGGGTATGGTCTTTAATACAACAGAATGGTGGACCAAGATTCGTGTAGCCGACCCCAATTATTTGGGAAAAGGCTATGATGATGATGATGATTCAATTTCAAAAGATGTATATTTTTATCTTCATTTTAGGTTTTATTTTTAGGGTTTTTAACTTTTTCAAGGATTCTAAGTTTTTTTTTTATTCACCATTCACTTGTTACGCGTCACAAGTACTATTCACAGGTATTGTTCATGGGTTACTCTTCACAGGGGTAAAATTGCCGTTACAAACTGTGTTTAATTTAGGACTTGTTGGGTCATTTTAATTATTGTATTGACATCTAATATCTTTGAATATTACATTATAATATATAAGAGGCGGTAGGGCCTTAAGGGGGTCATTCCATATGATTTTCATAATTGAAAAAGAAATAAAAGTTTAGGCTTTTGAAACCCTAGCTTGGGGTGAGGAGAAAACCCTATGTTTCTCCTAGTTAGTGCTTGCATTCGGCATGTTTTCTTGCTGATTTTCCTGTACTTTCAACTTCTCTACATCACATTGGCAAACTATGAAAAGGATACTCTGATATCTCCAAAGAACCATAGACCACTTGAAGATCTTTTTAAGAAATAATCTCCGGTTGCTAGGGTGTAGCGAGTCTAATTGGATGGGTGACCTAAGTCATTGATGGTCGATATCAGGATATTCCTTCATTTTGTTAGTGGGAGACTTGCACGACATGGTCTACCATGGAATTGGAGTATATGGAAAGTTCTGCAGCATCGTGGGAGGGCTTGTGGTACACAAGGTTCCTACAAGCTTAACGATTGTTTTAAGTGTTAAAGAGCTAGCGACCATGTTTTGTAATGACACAATGGCATTGACTTTTGCAAATGATCAGAGAGTATTATAGTAAGATGTAGTAGGAAGAGATCGGGTATCATTATGTGCAAGACGTCACTAAAAGGAATATATATTCAAAGGAATATATATTCACATGAGCAGGATGGTAGCAAACCCCATGACTAAGCCTATGCTTGAGAAAAGTATTCTCTCAAGCATAAGACTCATGTCAAGGGATTGCGACCCACAAGTCGCTAATTGTTTTTCTGTAACATCATCATCGTCTAAATCTTTTAATACATGGATGATGGATGTTGTTTTGGATTGGTTTTCACCATTCATTTGAGAGATTTACAAAATTATGCTCCATTTGATGCACATAGATATAGTTTGGATCAATGTCCAAAAAAATGTCGATCTCGATTAGGAACCAAGAATTGGCTCGTTTTATAGGCACTCACCGGATTCCGTAAATGAACCAAGCGAGTTCATAAGGAACCAGGCATTCCAAATTTACAGAATCACCCTGTTCCCACCCACTATGACGTCCTATTATTTTTCATTTTTTATTTCCCAAACTTTAGAAATCCTATTTAAATTTTTTTGACAAATTCCAACCCTAGAGAAGCGGGCCCAATCTGGCTGGGATCAACTATCTGGATTGGTCCATTAGGTGATTAATCTGCCTGCCCAATCCGGGTTTTAAAATACTAGTTTGGATGAATATTTACACTAAAATATTCGGATGCATGTTTCTTGTGCAATAAATCCTCGCCAAGCTAGGTCAGCTTCTTGCATAGCTTTGACTGTCCTCAATGTCACTAAAATTGGAGGATGAGACACACATAGGTTGTGTGACAACGACGTCAACATGAGATTGAGATGAGATTCCATGGATAGGAATCTAAATGATCCATATGACATCCCACCAGATCATGTAGCATGTATGATAGCCAGGTGTGAACATTGGGGATATAAAGGTTAGTTGCTTGGGTGCGGTTTTGGGCCAAATTGGTTGTCAAGATCATAATTAACGAGATCTCCTCCCTTGCCCAGTGATCCCTTGCAGAACCTCGATTCTCTCGATCCCGGAGCAGAAATGGTCTGAAAATCAATTTAGTGTTTTCGGGATCTCGCTCCATCTTAAAAGGGAACGAGTTCCTTTACAATTTAATTTCGTGTTCCTGAACATTATAAGATCTAGCTCCCTAGTCTTATGGTTCGCGCTCCAGAGTGCATTGGGATCTAGATTCCAAAATAACGGAACACAAGCATCGCCATATATGACATCTAGATCCCACCAATATGGTATTGCTTTAAAGTACCTTATTTATTTAATAGAAGGACTAAGCCTACATGTTATTGGCTAACAATGCCAGGAGCTACATTTTAAAGCCATGGATCCTTATTACCAACACGAGGAACTTGTGTTCTAAGAAAATGGAGCTCGCTCCTATAAAAGTTATTCCTCACTCCATAATATTTTGGATCACTTTTAGTAATGTGCTCCCTGAGTTAAGAGACTAAAAAAATGCCCCTGGGAACTTTGCTTCTTATGTATAAGATCTCGCACCTTTATATAATCATTTTTGATCCTATGTAATAAAAGAGCTCGATCCCCAACATACATGGACCTCGATCCCGACCTTTGAAGCTATACGGGCATCGATCCTTAACACAGGGATCTTCAGTATAGCTTCGATCCGCCGATCCTGCCCCCAATCCCATAACCGTTCCTTTTCCCGTACCCAACAACTATGGTTAGGATGCACGACTATGACTAAACTAAGACCTACATGGTGTAAATTCGACGTAGATGCTAGTACTTCTTATCATTTACACTATGACGTGTGTCTTATTGTGAATGTCATTATCATGGAGGCGTATAGGATGGTCCCTGTTCCTAGTAACATCCTACTAAAATAGACTTCTAGATTGGAAAGAATCCTTCCATGATAAGGAATCTTAGAAGGGGCTCCTTTATATAAGAGTGTAGAGAAAGAGAGAGACTAACATTTTTGGAAAGTCATGTAAAACTCTAGAAGCGTTCATTTCTCTCCATGAGCTCAAGTGTTATACTTTCCTCTTTCCTTACCTAAGTTTTCTCTCTAGAAAAAACAAGAGTTTCCTTCATCCCTTTGCAAAAAAATTTAGGTGACATCCATCAAGGGCTCGAGGATTTACGCTGTTAACTTGTACTCTTGATCCTAGTAATCATGGGGCAGTCTAAAGATGTGAGTATCGAACTCTCAACCCATCAAGAGGAGTACCACACACCTGAGGTGAAAAGAGATGGCAAACCCAAAGAAAATTGATCAGATTTGAAAAAGGTATGTAATCTCCGATCACTCTTGTGTACGTTTTTTGCATTTTTGCTTTGTTGCGATTTAAGCATAGAATCCAAAACTACCAAACAAGTACTTAGTCCATTTTAAAGTGACCTAATAAGCATGATAAAACACACATACCAAAGCTTTTAAGGGAAAAATGCTACCCCTTCTTCAATACGAAACACATCAACAATATTTTCTCATTCCCAAATGATATATGATGCTAAACTACAATTGCATAAAGAGTGACATTCATTCTTGAGGAACTATTTTTTGCATAGAGAAAATCGCTAAAATAGCACAAAAACCACATTGTTTCAATAAATTCCTTTAAACAACGGTTTGATCAACCCCTAATCATTCACAAACAACCACTAAACAAACTAATATTTACAGAGAAACTAGAAACTAATATTTATAGAGAAATTAGGGTTTCATCAAACAAAGTGTCACTTACAGGAAACAACACAAGATGAGTAGAGAGAGATAAGCATAATTGCGAGGGTATCTCCTGATGTTCTCCTGAATTCTCAGCCGCGCCTGTGAAACTGAAGAAGGTAAAGAGTAAGTACGCGATGGACCAAGACCACAGTCAAAGAATTCTCCCGTCCATGAAGCAGGTTGGCGCTTTAAATCCTCCACAGTGAGCTTTGAGAAAGGGTTGAAAGCAAAGAGAGAGAAAAAAGATGTGGCCCCTCCTGTGCTTGTTGTGCAGCGGTCCACACATGGTGGGATGTTGCGAGTGTCTAGGGTTTCCAGGTATCCGGTCTCTTGGAGCCATGTCTCGAATGCGGCTTCAGGGACGCTGAGAGAGAGAGGGTTGGCTGAGAAGGCCATGGCGTTGCTCCCTACTTTCTGTGTTTTTGTGGGGAAATTTGGTAACTAGAAGCCGGACATGGAAGTTTGGAGTTTCTAGTTCCGTGATTTTGATACCCGTTAATAAAAAGATTTAAGGGGAAAATTATACATGGGAAAGTATACGATAAGACGATTTACTTTTTGTCACAATTAATATTGACTGAAATTGGGTGGGTGTATTTATTTTATGGGCGCAAGTGTACATACGGATGCATCCATAGGTGTAGAGGTAAGGTGCACCTTCATGTTTTATCATGGTATATAATTTTGAGGTAAAATGTTCTTAGGATTACCTCAAATCTATTTTTATATTTAATTATAAATTTTTAAAAGGTTTCTATGCTCTTTCTACAGCATAGAAGTTATATCCTCCTTTTACCATCCAGCCGTCCAATTTTGATCAAGAGAGTCACTCACCGTTTGATTTTAGATCCGACGTCTTAAAGTATTTTATTTTTAGTTTTTTTTTATACAAATTGTATGAATATGAAATTTGGTACATGCCATCTTCTCATTGTGGCGCACTTATAAAAAATATTAAAAATATTTTTTTGATAAAATATAATGATCAAAATGCCTCTTGAAACTTTAAAAGGTATTTTAGTCATTTTATTTTATTGAAAATATTTTTTTAATATTTTTAGCTTGTGCGAGTTTAATAGAGGAATGGACGTCCAAAATTTGGTGTCAAAATAGTTTATAAAAAAAAATTAAGAATAAAATAGTGTAGAGACATGGCATTGTGATTGGGGCAATCTTAGCCCTTCATTCAGAATGGATGGTTGGATAAGGGGGAAGATAGAACTTCTATGCTGCAGGGGAAGCATAGAAAGGTTGCTCTTTTAAAAATGGTTAAAATCAAGTAAATCCATGAACATATGAAAATCTTGAAAATTGACGGTGTAGATAATATGTTGTAAAATGTACTATTTATGATACTTAAAATCTTTTTATTTTTCAAGGTCATACATCTAGATGTCGAGATGATCAATCAAAGGGCTTTTCAACATTAAAACTATTTTTCTGATAGATTTTTGAGGTGCATCCGTAGTAGTAGAGGTAAGGTTGCAACCTTATATAAACTTTTTCCTTATTTTTTTTGGAGAGTGTGGTCACAATTAATATTGACTCAAATTGTGTGAGTGCATTTATTTTATGGGTGCAGTGTGTATGGAGCCGAGGCTCTAAACAATCAAAGTAGAGCACACCTTCAAATAATGTTGAGAAATGTGGTTTTAATATTGAAAATCTTTGGGATAGCTTCAAAAGATATTTTCACGTCTAATTATAAAATTTAAAGCTAAAAAATAGTGTACATCGAGCAGATCTATGAAAACTTGATAATCTTGAAAATTGACGGTCCAAAAATGTATTAACATTATTTTCAAAACTTGAAATCCATTTTTTTCTCTTGTCCATGCATCATGATGTCGAGATAAGCAATTTGAGGATATTTGGACATCAAAACAACATCTTCTAATGAAATTTTGAGGTAGACTCTAATTTGATTGTTTAGAGCCTCAGCTTTATATAAATTTTTTCTTTATTTCATTGACCACGCTCAAAGTTCAGAAGAAATTTTATGTAATACATCCAAACTATCATATTTTATTGTAAGTAATTGGACTAAAAGTAAATGGTGTCAAAGTATATGATCCCATTATAGATATCCCCAATTTCAACTTTCCACCTATCTCATCTCATAATTTTTGTATTATACCTTAAACCCCAATTTTATTTTTCTTTATATTGACCTCCACTAAAATAATCAAATAATTGGGAGATCAAAAATACCATTATTAATATTTTTTTATATTTTATAATTTTTAGGTTTTAAAGCTTCAACTCTCTTTCTACCGAAATTTTTAGTTTTTAGTACGTCACCTCTCTCACTACCGAAATTTTATAATCTCCTGAAATTCCAATCTCTCCCCAAACTCTCGTCTCTCTCTCACTCTCTACCTAAATATCGCGAACTCTCTCCCTCCCTCTGCTAAATCGATCTCTCCCTCCGCGGAATTCTGGTGTTTTGCATCCATATCCACCATGTATGCATCTGTACTTTTGCCTGCTCCTTAAACACCCCCATCTCAAAATGCCTCAAGCTCTCTGAAACCTCCTCCTCCTCCTCTTCTCTCGAGCTCCAATACGACTGGCATTTGAGCTTGGAAAAATGGCAATCATTCAACTCTGATATATCGATGTTTGGGTTAGACAATTCAATGGCCGTGACCTACTAGCTGGTGTGTTGTGCCTTGCAGGTGGGAGCTCTTCAATGGAGTGTGCCACCTTCATGGAGCCACAACCTCATCCTTTTTTCATGGGCTCTGAGTATCTCATGTCAGGCAATATTGTTTCCACATCTTCTGTAAATCTATCTGCAAAAGAAGCCGGGAATGATGTTGAGCTTTGAGAGAGAGAGAGAGAGAGGGAAGAAGGGGCAATAATGTGCAAAAGCTCTCACCTTTAAGTAGTACATCAGATGAAACCCCATGAAAAAAATGTATCTTTTGCGGCTGTAGCGGCAGGAAAAGAGCGAAGAGACCACGATTGTTTGGAGCCGAATTAGGGGCAGGGAAAGAGAGAGAGGAGAAAAGAGAGAATGAGCCCCATTGTTAGAAACCACACCAGTGCCATTATCTCAATTAACCTTCAGATATCAGCCAATATAATGCGGTCCGGTTATGGGCATTGAGTTACTGGAATACAATGCGATCTCACTACGGTTAGCAAGCCGGGGACCATGAATAGATCGGCTCACTATAAAATCAATAGCAAATCATTTTTGTTTTAAAAAGTCTGATGAACGAATCGTGTAACAAATTGTTTGGCAAAAAATACTTTATATAAAGATATCGCTAGTATATCGGATTAGGCTAAAAAAAATTGGATAAATTTATAATATTATACATTTTAAAATTTTAAGAAATAAAAATTATGTTAAAGCCATTAATAACTAATTCATCCGTAAAAACTTTATTAGACTAATATAATTAATTTAGATGACCCGTGACTCTTATCCAATCATCTAATATTAGATACATAATTAACTAGTATATACCAAAAAAAAAGAAAAAGTTTATATAAGGTTGCATCTTTAAAATGTAGAATTACAGAGAAAGGTTTTTTTAATGTTGAAAAAACTTCGAATTGGTCATCTAAACATCGCGATGTATGAATATAGAAAAAAAAAAGATTTTGAGTCAAAAAATAGTGCATCTTGCAATACATTATCTAAACTGTCCATTTTCAAGATTTTCATATGTTTATAGATCTTGATTTTAATCATTTTTTTAGGTTTAAATTTTATAATTAGATATAAAAATAGATTTGAGATAATCATAATAATTTTTGCCATCCAAAATTACATGTTATGATAAAATTTGGAGGTGTGCCTTATTTGGATTCTTTAAGGTTGTAACCTTATAGAAATCACACCTAAAAAAAAAAATGTACCATATAAATCTACTCATTAAATACTTTAAGGAACATCACACCTGCTTATTACATGCCAAAAACAAATATACTATATAAATTCATTCACTAAATACTTTAATATTAAAATACATGACTAACTAGTATATACCAAAAAAAATATACTATATAAATCTACCCATTAAATACTGTACAAAACATCAAACCTACTTACCACATACCAAAAACAAATATATTATATAAATTTATTCATTAAATATTGTAACTATGGTATGGTATCAGATATAATATTTAAATTTATCTAGATTGGGTATCGGTGATGCCGACGGCTCCATTACTTTTTTTAGTGATCCGTGTTTTGGCTCTCTGGCATCCTTACCACGTAAAACTTTGCCTTTCTGGCATGTGGCTTCATTACGTGTATTTCTGGCATGCGGCCACCACCCTCTGTAGCTTTGTACCCAATCTCGCCTATGTGGCTTAGAACCTTACCCTATGCATTATAACTCATCGAATCGCTCGTGCGATGTATTTTATGGAAGAAAGACCTATTTAATATTTTATTAAGGAGTATAATTTTTTTTTTAATAATAATAATTATTTTTTTATTTTAACAAAAATATCACTTACAGATGATTTTATTATAATTAATAAATATTTCAAAATAAAACAGCACAACAATAAAATAAAACTCAACTATTTGATAGCATTTATTCAATTTAATACTATGTTTGAAAATATAAAATAAAAAAAACACGAAAGTAAAAGAAAAGATGTCGAAGTTTATCTCATTCAAGTTTATTACATCTCCACACCGAACCACCATATCCAATAACGCAGGATTAACGATCTAATTTCAATCTCGAACCGAAAACACTAATTTCGATCGAACTAAATATCTACCTTTAAATCTCCATATAACGTTAATATTGGGAGCCCCTGCATATCTTAAGAGAGAAAAAGGTTAGAAAAAAGGCCCGAGAAGAGAGAGATTCTCTCTCCTTCCGAGTCGAGTGCTATGTACCCCTCTTTCCAAACAAGAAAAATAAGATAAACTACCAACCTTCAGTTGCGTCTCCATTGTCAATCCACTCACCCACATACTCCTTCCCCTCTCACTGGCTCACCCCTCTCTCTCTCTCTCTAAAAGCAAAATAGAAAAAAATACAGAGAGAGACTCCCCACCTTTCTCTCTCTGCATCTGCACTAAAAAACAGAGGTGCATACTCCTGAAATCAATCACTCAAAAACAATCAAAACTTCAAATTCTTCAGCAAAACATGAAAAAGAAAGCACCCAAAAAATACAATCAAGATTCTGCATCATGAAGCCAACCAATCTCGTATTTTAGTGAAATCACAAAAATATAGGATATTATTCTGATTTCCTCTTTGCCTGAATCCATTTCCTGATCTTGCTTGAGCACTCTTCATCTAGTTTTACATAGAGTTTCAACAATTCTGTGTATGCTTTCTCCACATATGTATCAATGTGATCTTCATACTTTTCGTACAATGCTGGGACAGTGAGAACCAAGACGAGGCTTGTGTATCCTAGAGTGAGGAAATCAGTCCAGCTCCCTATAACTGAGATTAGCCATAGATAAGCAGCGATTGAAAAAGAGCTTCGAGTCCTTT